TCTATTTATATAAGACTTCAATAGTTCATAAAAGGTCATGTACCAAAATTTAAGCAGATTCTAGATTTCTTATCTTTCGATTTGAGACCCAAATAATACCAATGCAAATATAAGGTAAAAGTCCGAGTCGGCCTTTTCCCGCCATTTCAAAATATTCAAATACCTCGAAAAGGAGCTCCATAACCTATCAATATTTTAGCTTATTTTGTTCCTTAACGAATGCTCTTCCGACTTATAGTATCAATTTTAAATTCTAGATTTTTTTTAATTTAACCTTTAGTACATCCTTAAAAAAATACCACTGAAATCTAAATAATAAATTTGTTTAAATTTCTTGGACTTTTACAATAAAAATAAATATATCTAAGGGAGATAATTATAAAAATATTGCCTGTTAAATGTATGTCACTTTTCACCGGTGATATACTCTTCTTTATTCCTACAATTATTGCCAATCAAACGTATGTCACTTTTCACTTGTGTTATACTCTCCAATCTAAATAATCAATAAATAACATACAAATTAGCAATAATTATCATGTCACAAACAAATAGTCAATAAAAAAAGGTACACGCATGAGTATTAATAAAAACTATAATCAATTAAGTTAACAGTATATTGATTTAAATTCACTGTCCACATACAAATGTATTCATACATGAAAACACTTTGTCTGTATTTGTTTGAACACAGACCTTTCGTATTTTTCTCTTTATCAAGTTCCGTTATTTATATACTATCAATTCATAACCTTTTATAAAGCTTGTTATTTTGAAACAGAGGGGCGAACATCATTTATACACATGCATAGTATTTTTTTTTTGGTGATACACACATGATACAGTATTTTCTAAGTCGTAACAAAAACATAAAAGTAACATAAGTTCCATTGAACTTTTAACATATCCTTATAATTAATTCTTTTAAATATTTCTCTATTCTGTAAATCTAAGACATAAAACATATAAAAATTGATTTTATAAAAATTAAGTTTTACTCATGGAACTAGTACTTTCTTTGTGACAGCGAAATCTGTAAACATAATTAATATGAATATTACATACAAAATATAGAGTTGAAAACAGGAATCAACGTTGATAGCAACAAAAAAAAAAGAGTTGTAAAATGTCAATATGAAAAAAGGGTTCTACCATGTGCACAGGCACCATTTAGAAAATAATCCAAAAACACAAGTAATGTTAGCAAATTTTGTAAACTCAATTAACATGAGTAGTATGTACAAAATATAGAGTTCAAAAAACAGGAATAAACATTGACAGCAAAAAAAAAAAGAAAAATAAGCGTAAAATGACAATATGAAAAATGAGTCCTACCACACGCCTAACCAAAGTATATGATAGCAAGATATGTAAACTTAATTATTATGAGTAGTATGTACCAAATGTAAAGTAGAAAAAAAAAAAGGAATCAATATTAGAGCTGCTTCGGATAGAAATTGACATTATGCAAGTGATTAAATACATATACATTAATAATACTTTGATTGATAATGGAACATTCAAATACGAAATGAAAAAAGAATTATGGTCTGTTTTATAGGGCTCTTATAACAACTCAATTTTCAAACAGTTACCGAAATAGGATAAGAAGATGTATTGATATACATTTGCATAAGGTCGATTTCTATTCACCGCAGCTCATTAATAGGAATAACAATATGAAAAAATAGTCCTACCATTATGCTCCATTTAGACTTTTATTCAACAACACAACAAATGAAAGAACATAACAAAAACATAAATAGAAGATCAGATCTATATACAGTGTGATCACGTCTGAATACATTTAGTTAAAATAAGAAAGATTCCACATGTTATTAAAAAAAGACAAAAGAGAGGCGATAGGTACCAAAGGCATCAAAATTAAGTCAAAATAAACTTACAACGCCATGGCAAAAACGTAAACAACAAAAACAATAAAAATACACACTAATAAAAAAAGAACAGTATAAAAAACTGAGGACCGAGGAACACGTACCCCACGAAAAACTTACCAAACTATACTGGTAAGGTAATAAGAAATGTAACTTTAAGAACAATAAGTAATTTAAAACATTTCAGTAATGATATAATTACAATGAGTAAGTCTGGTACAATTAAATATGTCTCTCCTGTTCAGGGTTATAAAATCAGGACGAAAGGAATGGGACTTTACAAAACAATGAAGAAATGAAACAACTTTATAATGATATAATTACCCTGTTTACTGAGTACGGTACAGTCATATTCAATGTCATCAACAGAATTGTTTAACTACAAATGAGAATTAGATTTTGTCTTTTCTATTCTTGATGATACAATCATGACCAAAGAAATGTGACTTAAGAAAACAATAACAAAAGTACAAACAACTAAGTAGTGATAGAATAACAATGTTAACTGAGTGTGGTACATATGAAATAAGAAGATGTGGTTTGCTTGCCAATGAGACCACTCTCCACATGAGACCAATTGACATAGAAGTTTACAACTATAGGTCACCGTACAACCTTCAACAATGAGCAAAACCCATACCGCATAGTAATCTATGTAAGGCCCGAAAATGACAAAATAATGTAAAACAAACAATTCAAACGAGAAAAATAACGGCCTGATTTACGAATAAAACAATAAATGAAAAAACGGTATGATATACGGCAACAAACGCCAACAACTGATTTGCAGTTGTATTCATTGGCATCAACATAATGGTTTAATTGCACATCAAAATTAAATATGTCCTTGCTGGTCCTTTTGATAGAATCAAGACGAAAGAAATGATTCAAGAAAACAATTAAGAAACTAAAAAGAAATAAGTAATGATAGAATTACAATGTTTATTGAGTGAGGTTATCGTTTATATTCTTTGGCATCAACAGAATGGTTTTGCTACATATAAAGATAAAATATGTCTCTACTGTTCCTGGTGATAAAATATAGAAATATTTATGTAGAGTGAAACAGTAGATACAAACACAGACAGAAGTAATGGAATGAATAGCAGTACATATCAAACACAGACAGAGGTAATTGGATGAATAGCAGTAGATATAAAACACAAACAGAGGTAAAGGAATGAATAGCAATAGACAGGCAAAGGTAATGGGATAACAATCAGTAGATATCAAACACAAGCAGAGGAAACGGGACATCAATCAGCAGATATCAAATACAGACACAGGTAATGGGATATCAATAAGCAGATATCTAAAACAGACAGAGGTAATGGGATAACAATCACTACATATCAAATACAGACAGAGGTAATGGGATGAATAGCAGTAGATAACAAACACAGGCAAAGGTAATGGGATAACAATCAGTAGATATCAAACACAAGCAGAGGAAACGGGACATCAATCAGCAGATATCAAATACAGACACAGGTAATGGGATATCATTAAGCATATATCAAATACAGACAGAGGTAATGGGATGAATACCAATAGATATCAAACAAAACAGCAAACAACAAAATAATTAAAAAAGACCATCATCACATAGATGAACATTGGGATTCTTCTCTCTCAGTAACATTACTATATCAGTATGTCCTTGCTGACTTGCTATGTCCAGAGGACTATAGTCATTATTGTCACACTGATCAACGTTAGGATTCCTCTCTAACAACAACTTTACTATATCAGTGTGTCCATTCTGACTTGCCTTGTACAGAGGACTACAACCATTTCTATTGCTACATAGATCAATATTAGGATTCCTCTCTAACAACAACTTTACTATACCAGTATGTCCTTTCTGACTTGCCATGTACAGAGGACTACAGCCATTGTTATCACATAGATTAATATTAGGATTCCTCTCTAACAACAACTTTAATATTTCAGTTTGTCGTTCCTGACTTGCCATGTTCAGTGGACTTTTTCCATTATTATCACAAATATTAACATTAGGATTCCTCTCTAGCAATAACTTTACTATATCAGTATGTCCATGCTGCGTTGCCTTGAAAAGTGGACTACATCCATTTTTAGCACATAGATTAATATTAGGACTCCTCTGTAACAACAACTTTACTATTTGAGTGTGTCCATTCAGACTTGCCATGTGCAGAGGACTACAGCCATATAGATTATCACATAGATCAATATTAGGATTCTTCTCTAACAACAACTTTACTATTTCAATATGTCCGTTTTGACTTGCCTGTCTCAGTGGACTATAACCATCATTGGTACATAGATCAACATTAGGATTCTTTTCTAACAACAACTTTACTATATCAGTATGTCCTCCCTTACTAGCCCTGTACAGAGGACTACCGCCATTATTGTCACATTGATCAATATTAAGTTTCCTCACTAACAACAACCTTACTATATCAAAATGTCCTTCCTGACTCGCGAAAATGAGTCCAGTGAACCCATCAACTCTACTTTGACCCACATCCACATTATTATGTAACATCCACTGTACCATATCAGTATAACCATTATAACAAGCCCCTATCAGCGGTGTACTACCTGATGCATGGTGCTCTTTTGGTAACACTCTATCCTGACTATTGGCTAATGTTACTTGCTGTGATTTGTCCAGTTGTTTTAAGTGCTGTAATAACTGTTGTCTAAATGATGAAACTGTCATATTGTTGTTTCCAAATATAACTCTCACTTTTCCTACTGACCAGTCCTTTATAAACCTTTTAAAATATATTTCTAAATCATTCTCAGGTATTTTAATAATGAAGTCTACGCTAATGTTCTTGTCATCTGTCGATTTCTTCCATATCAAACGTTCATGAACTAAATTACTTTCACCATGGTCTATTAAACATTTAATCATTTTCTGACCAAAGTAATTAGCAAGGAAATCAAACAATTTATTATGTATAGTTCTATAAATACCATTCTGTTTATATACAAACGTACCTTCTAGAGTGTGAAGAGCCTCTTTAAGTTTTGCCTTGGAAGTACCTCTGTTCAATTCACAAGCCTTACATGTATCTTCTATAAGATGTCGTTGCTCATGTGTAACTGTACCCTTGAACCATTTCTCTTTCAGTTGATTATTAAAGAGAACTAATAAAGCGAGACTGCATAGCTTGTCGTTCCCTTCCACACCAGGCCTACTCAAACTTTGTAGTTCATTTTGATAGACAAAAAATGGATTTTCGAAAAATTCGTTAACTCCTCCATGTATTTCCCTGTCATATAAGGAGCATAAAAGTGGAAAGAATTCACTATTTTGTGATAACCTATCAAGATCGTTCAAATTTGGACCAATATAGGTATTTGCCATACTATTTTTTTCTACAGATGTAAGGGATAATTTATCTGACATTAAATTACATTCACATGATTTAAAAGGTCTTAATATATTAAACTTGTCATCGTTATAGACTTGTAACCTACATGATACAATAATCTTACAACATTTGTCTTTAATTATTGTGTTAATCAAAGGTAACAGTTGTTTCCAGTTATCAATCTGTTGGTGGTTTGCAGTAAAATTTCCACAAATATCATCAACAAGGAAGACTGTCTGTTTTCCAGGTTGATAATAATCTTCGATATAATTTGGGTTTATCACTGGTATTATTTTGTAGCCTTTCTTCTGTAAAACTAGTGCTGTGTGTCTTGCAGTAAAAGATTTCCCTACTCCTGACGGGGCAGTTAAAGTCAAACAACTGTTATCCTTTAAACATTCCATGACATAATCACTGGCTCTTGTAGCAACAAACATCTCATCCTTTTTTTCCCAGTCGTTAATTTCTTTTTTCATTTGGTCTGAAAAATAAACAAGGTGTATATAATTTGAAATAAAAAAAAAGTATTAATTGGCTTTTATTGCCACTTTCAGCCCTGTTGATTATTTCGAGGCTGTAAGTTTTAAATGGTGGATTAAGACGTATTGCCCAGAACCACGACCAACTTTATGAAAACGTTCATAGTCAATTTTGATTGGAGTGGAGCAAACCAGCCATATTGGGTGTTCACATGATAGTGATACAGTAGTTGGACTACTTAGACCACTCGGGCCAAAAAGAAATTTGTCTTTGCATATGAATTACATATTATTATTTAAAACATGCATAAAATACAGAATTAATTCTATGGTATACTAAGTTGTTTCATATTTTGAAATCTTTGGACCTTTCATAGCTTACTATACAGTATCCGTTCTACTCATCGTTGAATGCTAGATAACGACCTGTACTGTTTTATGCGCTTGTCTATTAGTGAATATTTGTCTAATTTGCCATCACATCTTCTGCCAGTTGTGATAGAAATAAAATTGAAACTTATCGAAAATATAGCAAGCCACTAAAATATTGTATTGGTTAACCATGGATAAGCACGAAAAAAATATAATTTATAGTAAAATCATTAAAAAAACATTAAAATACATGGTTTTGGAGTTTCTTAAATCAATTATTTAACCTTGAATTGAATGTTCAAGTTCAAGGCCAGTTGTCAAAGCCCGTGGTATACGACTCATTGTCATTAAGTAAAAGGTCAAGATCACAAAAATTTCATAGCAATTCAACACCGTCATATAGTTATGTTAAAAAAAAATAGCCTAAAGGATGGTGTATTATGGGCCTGCTGAGATCTGATTGCATGAAAAGTTTTTTTCTGTTATATAAATTTCATATAAAAAATCTTCATATATTCTTTCTCTTTCTGCTCTTAAATTCATATATATTTAAGGCAACGTTTCATATACAATAGGAAAAAATCATAAATAAACATCATAAGTATGTTTCATTTCTGTATATGAATGCTATACAATATAAACTAAGTGCATCAATTTTTATTTCTGACAAAAATGTCTTTCTTTTAAAGTTTAATAAATAATGAAGTCCTTTAAACTTTAAAAAATAACTAAAATGTAATTTTAAAATAAAATCCAAAATAAAATTACTGTATAAAATGTTTTCTAAGTCTTTCCAATTCTTAAACATATTATCCCTTGTCAAATTATCTACTCTTATCAGTACTGATTTTATAACATGTATTTGAAAAATATGACCTAAAACGTGTTATCATTTGTAAATAACAAACATTTTACAACTAACTGCGAAACTAATAAAGCATACACTATTAATAGTAATAAAGTGAAACATTTTAAAGAATAATCAAAATGTTATTAAAAAAAATCAAATCTCTATCTCTAATGTTACATAGGTAAATATAGGTTGCAGAAACAGGGGAACTTAGTTAGTGACGTCACCCTTATTTGAACGTTTGTAGGTTCGTGGCCGAGTGGTAAAGACCAATGGCTACAGTGCTGAAAGTCCCCAGTTCAATATTGACTCCTGATTCGGGGTGCTGGAAATGTCAATATATTAGTTGGGGAACAAAAAGGCAAAATATATCAAAGGAATATTCAAACTCATAACACTGCATAAGTCGAAAGCAAACTGACAATGCCATGCCAAAACAAAAAAACGACAGACGACGAAAAGACAAACTACAGTACACAAAACACAACATAGAAAACTAAATTCTAATGCAATTCGTTTGTAACGACAATTTTCATTGGACGTTGACAAATATTTTGAAGGGTAAGATTCCACATTCTACAAGTCCGTAACTAAGAAAGCCACCATTTCATGCATTTTGTATTCCGATTATTTTTTGGGGTATGTAATTTCTCACAACATAAACAAGAAAGTCACATTTTCAGCCTCAAAATCTTCTTTCTGTCAATATTGAAACCATTCTGAAGCGTACGAAAGGTTTAAATACGTCTAGTGTTTATATTTGACATCGTGAGTATACACATGACGTCACATTGTTTAGATGCTAAAGACGATGCAACAGTTTCGCGGAATTTTTCATTTATGTCATTTTAAGCCAAAATATTTATTTAATGGAATTTATTTTGATATGCTGCATTAGAATGGAGATAACTGTATTGTATTTTAAGCTTGGCCTTTGTAAAACTTGACTTTACTGTCGCAAATATCCGTTTACCTAGCTCCGCTACGCGTCGCTAGGTCAACTAAATTTGCGACGGTAAAATCTATGTTTTACGAAGGCCAAGCTTAAAATACAACACAATTATCTCCTAATTATGAGCGACACGCACCCCTACAAAAACCGAGGATGAACGCAGGTGGTAAGCAGGGTAGGCAGATCCTGCTACGGATGTTGCACCCGTCGCATTGCTCATATAGGTACAAACCCGGTGATATGTTTCCCAGACCGGAGTGTAAACTATACTTGGTACTTTCGGGGCCTCTGTTGGTCAAAATTGCCTCCAACTTTGACCTGCTGATCAATCTGCAAATATCTGTTCGGTTTGTCTATTCCCACCAAGGAGTCCGGTGTTTCTTCCCAAGTACTTCCACTTCCTCCACCGTAATAACAGACTTCCAAGTGTCCAAACACTCTCTCGGTGTTTGGTTGGATTTGTCCATCGTGTATAAGTTAGAGCATATGAGTTAGTGACACATCTCCATTAATCCTAATAGGAAGTTTAAACGGATTCCATTGTACCCTCGCTGCTTGAGGAGATGCTTCGATATGCTTCGAATAATGGAGGAATTTGCAATCATACATAAATGCATATTGCATCTGTGTTTAATGGTAATAAGCATTGCGTATAAGTGTAATAACATTTGGTGGAGGCAAACTGAAGTTATGTAGACAATAACAGTTTTGTGTCTTTAAATATCATCTGTATTTGTACGAGGCTAAGAAACAGGTGTAATGCTAGCTTCAACGAGCTGTTACTCCTGTTTCGAGCCGAGTACAAATACAGCTGATATCTAAAGACACTAAACAGTTATTGTCTTTATCCTGCAATTAGTTTTGTATATTGTCTTTGCTTTGAAAGACAGAAAAACTCACATTTATTGCATTTATTTTGGTTTAAAATCCTTTGAGGCCCGCGTAGTAATATTAAAATCACACATTCAGCTGAAGACGGGTTCCCAGAAAAGAATTTCGAATGGTCAACAATAATACACCGCTCAAAGTAAATAATTATTTTAACATAACAACTAATTTCAACAGTAAATATAAATAACAAAACATTGTCCGATTTAAAACAAAAGTGTATGATTTGTCCTACGGTTCAGGTTTTTGAACTGAACTTGACATTTACTGAACATGCTGAAATTGACATTGTTGCATGGTTGATTTTGTGTGTTACACATGTACACATTCAAGTTTTGAAATCGACGATTGGTGCCGTAGAAAATGGAGTTAATCCTGCTGTTCATGTTTTTTCTCTGTTAGCTGAAAATGGGTTTAATTCATATTGCTCTTAAGAAATCCTTGAAAACAAACAGAACGTAAATTAATCTATAGTTCGCATAAGGTCAAGCAATACGTTATTGGAATGCGACTGCAATACACATTCTGAGGTCACGCAGGTTCATACAACACTCGTCAACAGCAATACACAAACGTAGTCCGGCAGTGGGCGGAGCTTTAAAGCGATATCTAGATATAGGAAGATGTGGTATGAGTGCCAATGAGACAACTCTCCATCCAAGTTACAATTTATAAAAGTAAACCATTACAGGTCAAGGTACGGCCTTCAACACGGGGTATACAGATACAGCCTAGCGATATCTGTTGGGCTGTAAATGTATGATAAGACACCCAATTGCAAGATAAAGAATGGAAACCAATTTCTTGACGTAAGTTGCTATCAAGAGTAAAAATGCTAGAAAGTCTCGCCTGCTTAACTGATCGTGATTGTACATATGATGAAAGTCTATAAGATAAAGGTATCACATAAACATAAAATTATCAGGAATCTACGAAAATGAGGTCAAGGTCAAAGCAGTACTGTCAGACAGACATGAACACATAACAAATAATTTTTTTACACATATAGCTGATCATTGCTTATGGCAACTGAAACACATTGACAACAATGATTTCTAGGTCAGGTAAATTCTGTCTCACAGACATGTAGAACGTGCAAGGATTGGATATACCAAACATGATAATCCTATTGCTGTTAATAAGAGAAAAATTCACGTGAAATAAAACCATGAATTTTATTTGTTAAGAAAAAAAAAACTTTGGTCACATATAGCATATCATTTTGCTTTAAGAAGTTTAATTTTCATAAATATGTAGTAGTATAAATCACTGCTGTAAGAGTCTACTACCAGCCATTCTTACATGATTAATATATATAATTGTTGCTTAACGTCCTGTGGCAAATGTTTAATGAATATTCTCTACAAGTACATTCTAAAAGCACATGTAATCCGTTTTAACAGAGTTTGAACCCCATTTAACTATCCATTTAAAATTATTGATCATTATTAGTGTACTTTTTTGTCAAGTTATAAATGTCAGAATACATAACATATAAACTTTTAAATTTGTAGTATACCTCTAATATTCTTTGGTATCACTTCTTCTTGCTCAGTTTCCATTTTTATTACTCTCTCATAAAGATCTGAATGTTTTTTTCCTTCTGAAATTAGAACAGAAATTTGATCCTGTCCCAACATGAGACCAAATGAAGTAGAGGTAAGCAACTAAATGTCAACGTACAACCTTCAACAATGAGAAAAACCAGATACCACATGGTACACTTTAGATGGCCCTGACATGACAAACGTAAAACAAATCAAACGAGTAAAAAAAAAAGCGACCAACCCTTCAAACATCATTGGACAGTGATGTAACAGAAAAAACATAGGAACAAATTAAAAACCAATTATTCAGAGAACAAATTGAAGGTCTTTCTACATCAATGTTCAAAGTTATTGATAAGAAGCTACTCAAAGTTACTATTGGCGTCCAATGATAGGTTTGTGCATACTGATAAAAAAAAATGGTTTCTATATACTTTTGTCTAAATTAAAGGTAGATAATTTGTTATGCAAAAGCAAGCAAAAGTCAAAATTGAGAACATGACCTTGACCTTTGACTTAGATCTCATTTTCTAAGTAAGGACCAAAGGACCTCAAATAAAAAGACTCTAGGTTTATACGGCTTATGGTTTACGAGTTACAAAAACATAACGACAAATCTATTTGGTAAAGGTAGATTATTCATATAAGATTTCAACGGATCGCTTTCATCCAAATCATCCAAAATTTCCTGAGGATTTAATGAACAATTTAGAAAAAAAGAATTTTGTCGACATCTGTTTTTGTTACGAAGGAGATGCACACAAATGATATACAGTTAGTGGGGAGATAATTCTTACGCAGAAAATTGTTCTGCTAAAAGGGGTTAAATTTAAAAGCGCATAAACTGTACGATAATATATATAAAATATCTAAGCGACATATTGCGAAACAAAAATTTACTACTTAGACCACTCGGGCCAAAAAGAAATTTGTCTTTGCATATGAATTACATATTATTATTTAAAACGTGCATAAAATAGAAAATTAATTCTATGGTATACTAAGTTGTTTCATATTTTGAAATCTTTGGACCTTTCATAGCTTACTATACAGTATCCGTTCTATTCATCGTTGAAGGCTAGATAACGACCTGTACTGTTATATGCGCTTGTCTATTAGTGAATATTTCTCTAATTTGCCATCACATCTTCTGCCAGTTGTGATAGAAAAAAAATTGAAACTTATCGAAAATATAGCAAGCCACTAAAATATTGTATTGGTTAACCATGGATAAGCACGAAAAAAATATAATTTATAGTAAAATCATTAAAAAACATTAAAATACATGGTTTTGGAGTTTCTTAAATCAATTATTTTACCTTGAATTGAATGTTCAAGTTCAAGGCCAGTTGTCATAGCCCATGGTAAACGACTCATTGTCATTAAGTAAAAGGTCAAGATCACAAAAATTTCATAGCAATTCAACACCGTCATATAGTTGTGTTAAAAAAAAATAGCCTAAAGGATGGTGTATTATGGGCCTGCTGAGATCTGATTGCATGAAAAGTTTTCTTCTGTTATAAAAACTTCATATTAAAAATCTACATATAGTCTTTCTCTTTCTGCTTTTAAATTCATATATATTTAAGGCAACGTTTAATATACAATAGGAAAAAATCATAAATAAACATCATAAGTATGTTTCATTTCTGTATATGAATGCTATACAATATAAACTAAGTGCATCAATTTTTATTTCTGACAAAAATGTCTTTCTTTTAAAGTTTAATAAATAATGAAGTCCTTTAAACTTTAAACAGTTACTAAAATGTAATTTTAAAATCAAATCCAAAATAAAATTACTGTATAAAATGTTTTCTAAGTCTTTCCAATTCTTAAACATATTATCCCTTGTCAAATTATCTACTCTTATCAGTACTGATTTTATAACATGTATTTGAAAAATATGACCTAAAACGTGTTATCATTTGTAAATAACAAACATTTTACAACTAACTGCGAAACTAATAAAGCATACACTATTAATAGTAATAAAGTGAAACATTTTAAAGAATAATCAAAATGTTATTAAAAAAAATTAAATCTCTATCTCTAATGTTACATAGGTAAATATAGGTTGCAGAAACAGGGGAACTCAGATAGTGACGCCACCCTTATTTGAACGTGTGTAGGTTCGTGGCTGAGTGGTAAAGACCAATGGCTACAGTGCTGAAAGTCCCCAGTTCAAAATTGACTCCTGATTCGGGGTGCTGGAAATGTCAATATATTAGTTGGGGAACAAAAAGGCAAAATATATCAAAGGAATATTCAAACTCATAACACTGCACAAGTCGAAAGCAAACTGACAATGCCATGCCAAAACAAAACAATCGGTGTTTGGTTGGATTTGTCCATCGTGTATAAGTTAGAGCATATGAATTAGTGACACATCTCCATTAATCCTTATAGGAAGTTTAAACGGATTCCATTGTATCCTCGCTGCTTGAGGGGATGCTTCGATATGCTTCGAATAATGGAGGAATTTGCAATCATACATAAATGCATACTGCATCTGTGTTTAATGGTAATAAGCATTGCGTATAAGTGTAATAACATTTGGTGGAGGCAAACTGAAGTTATGTAGACAATAACAGTTGTGTGTCTTTAAATATCATCTGTATTTGTACGAGGCTAAGAAACAGGTGTAATGCTAGCTTCAACGAGCTGTTACTCCTGTTTCGAGCCGAGTACAAATACAGCTGATATCTAAAGACACTAAACAGTTATTGTCTTTATCCTGCAATTAGTTTTGTATATTGTCTTTGCTTTGAAAGACAGAAAAACTCACATTTATTGCATTTATTTTAGATTTAAAATCCTTTGGGGCCCGCGTAGTAATATTAAAATCACACATTCAGCTGAAGACGGGTTCCCAGAAAAGAATTTCGAATGGTCAACAATAATACACCGCTCAAAGTAAATAATTATTTTAACATAACAACTAATTTCAACAGTAAATATAAATAACAAAACATTGTCCGATTTAAAACAAAAGTGTATGATTTGTCCTACGGTTCAGGATTTTGAACTGAACTTGACACTTACTGAACATGCTGAAATTGACATTGTTGCATGGTTGATTAAAACATGCATAAAATACAGAATTAATTCTATGGTATACTAAGTTGTTTCATATTTTGAAATCTTTGGACCTTTCATAGCTTACTATACAGTATCCGTTCTACTCATCGTTGAAGGCTAGATAACGACCTGTACTGTTATATGCGCTTGTCTATTAGTGAATATTTGTCTACTTTGCCATCACATCTTCTGCCAGTTGTGATAGAAATAAAATTGAAACTTATCGAAAATATAGCAAGCCACTAAAATATTGTATTGGTTAACCATGGATAAGCACGAAAAAAATATAATTTATAGTAAAATCATTAAAAAAACATTAAAATACATGGTTTTGGAGTTTCTTAAATCAATTATTTAACCTTGAATTGAATGTTCAAGTTCAAGGCCAGTTGTCAAAGCCCATGGTATACGACTCATTGTCATTAAGTAAAAGGTCAAGATCACAAAAATGTCATAGCAATTCAACACCGTCATATAGTTATGTTAAAAAAAAATAGCCTAAAGGATGGTGTATTATGGGCCTGCTGAGATCTGATTGCATGAAAAGTTTTTTTCTGTTATATAAATTTCATATAAAAAATCTTCATATATTCTTTCTCTTTCTGCTCTTAAATTCATATATATTTAAGGCAACGTTTCATATACAATAGGAAAAAATCATAAATAAACATCATAAGTATGTTTCATTTCTGTATATGAATGCTATACAATATAAACTAAGTGCATCAATTTTTATTTCTGACAAAAATGTCTTTCTTTTAAAGTTTAATAAATAATGAAGTCCTTTAAACTTTAAAAAATAACTAAAATGTAATTTTAAAATAAAATCTAAAATAAAATTACTGTATAAAATGTTTTCTAAGTCTTTCCAATTCTTAAACATATTATCCCTTGTCAAATTATCTACTCTTATCAGTACTGATTTTATAACATGTATTTGAAAAATATGACCTAAAACGTGTTATCATTTGTAAATAACAAACATTTTACAACTAACTGCTAAACTAATAAAGCATACACTATTAATAGTAATAAAGTGAAACATTTTAAAGAATAATCAAAATGTTATTAAAAAAAATCAAATCTCTATCTCTAATGTTACATAAGTAAATATAGGTTGCAGAAACAGGGGAACTTAGTTAGTGACGTCACTCTTATTTGAACGTTTGTAGGTTCGTGGCCGAGTGGTAAAGACCAATGGCTACAGTGCTGAAAGTCCCCAGTTCAATATTGACTCCTGATTCGGAGTGCTGGAAATGTCAATATATTAGTTGGGGAACAAAAAGGCAAAATATATCAAAGGAATATTCAAACTCATAACACTGCACAAGTCGAAAGCAAACTGACAATGCCATGCCAAACAAAAAAACGACAGACGACGAAAAGACAAACTACAGTACACAAAACACAACATAGAAAACTAAATTCTAATGCAATTCGTTTGTAACGACAATTTTCATTGGACGTTGACAAATATTTTGAAGGGTAAGATTCCACATTCTACAAGTCCGTAACTAAGAAAGCCACCATTTCATGCATTTTGTATTCCGATTATTTTTTGGGGTATGTAATTTCTCACAACATAAACAAGAAAGTCACATTTTCAGCCTCAAAATCTTCTTTTTGTCAATATTGAAACCATTCTGAAGCGTACGAAAGGTTTAAATACGTCTAGTGTTTATATTTGACATCGTGAGTATACACATGACGTCACATTGTTTAGATGCTAAAGACGATACAACAGTTTCGCGGAATTTTTCATTTATGTCATTTTAAGCCAAAATATTTATTTAATGGAATTTATTTTGATATGCTGCATTAGAATGGAGATAACTGTATTGTATTTTAAGCTTGGCCTTCGTAAAACTTGACTTTACTGTCGCAAATATCCGTTTACCTAGCTCCGCTACGCGTCGCTAGGTCAACTAAATTTGCGACGGTAAAATCTATGTTTTACGAAGGCCAAGCTTAAAATACAACACAATTATCTCCTAATTATGAGCGACACGCACCCCTACAAAAACCGAGGATGATCGCAGGTGGTAAACAGGGTAGGCAGATCCTGCTACGGATGTTGCACCCGTCGCATTGCTCATATAGGTACAAACCCGGTGATATGTTTCCCAGACCGAAGTGTAAACTATACTTGGTACTTTCGGGGCCTCTGTTGGTCAAAATTGCCTCCAACTTTGACCTGCTGATCAATCTGCAAATATCTGTTCGGTTTGTCTATTCCCACCAAGGAGTCCGGTGGTTCTTCCCAAGTACTTCCACTTCCTCCACCGTAATAACAGACTTCCAAGTGTCCAAACACTCTCTCGGTGTTTGGTTGGATTTGTCCATCGTGTATAAGTTAGAGCATATGAGTTAGTGACACATCTCCATTAATCCTAATAGGAAGTTTAAACGGATTTCATTGTACCCTCGCTGCTTGAGGAGATGCTTCGATATGCTTCGAATAATGGAGGAATTTGCAATCATACATAAATGCATACTGCATCTGTGTTTAATGGTAATAAGCATTGCGTATAAGTGTAATAACATTTGGTGGAGGCAAACTGAAGTTATGTAGACAATAACAGTTTTGTGTCTTTAAATATCATCTGTATTTGTACGAGGCTAAGAAACAGGTGTAATGCTAGCTTCAACGAGCTGTTACTCCTGTTTCGAGCCGAGTACAAATACAGCTGATATCTAAAGACACTAAACAGTTATTGTCTTTATCCTGCAATTAGTTTTGTATATTGTCTTTGCTTTGAAAGACAGAAAAACTCACATTTATTGCATTTATTTTAGATTTAAAATCCTTTGGGGCCCGCGTAGTAATATTAAAATCACACATTCAGCTGAAGACGGGTTCCCAGAAAAGAATTTCGAATGGTCAACAATAATACACCGCTCAAAGTAAATAATTATTTTAACATAACAACTAATTTCAACAGTAAATATAAATAACAAAACATTGTCCGATTTAAAACAAAAGTGTATGATTTGTCCTACGGTTCAGGATATTGAACTGAACTTGACACTTACTGAACATGCTGAAATTGACATTGTTGCATGGTTGATTTTGTGTGTTACACATGTACACATTCAAGTTTTGAAATCGACGATTGGTGCCGTAGAAAATGGAGTTAATCCTGCTGTTCATGTTTTTTCTCTGTTAGCTGAAAATGGGTTTAATTCATATTGCTCTTAAGAAATGCTTGAAAACAAACAGAACGTAAATTAATCTATAGTTCGCATAAGGTCAAGCAATACGTTATTGGAATGCGACTGCAATACACATTCTGAGGTCACGCAGGTTCATACAACACTCGTTAACAGCAATACACAAACGTAGTCCGGCAGTGGGCGGAGCTTTAAAGCGATATCTAGATATAGGAAGATGTGGTATGAGTGCCAATGAGACAACTCTCCATCCAAGTTACAATTTATAAAAGTAAACCATTACAGGTCAAGGTACGGCCTTCAACACGGAGTATACAGATACAGCCTAGCGATATCTGTTCGGCTGTAAATGTATGATAAGACACCCAATTGCAAGATAAAGAATGGAAACCAATTTCTTGACGTAAGTTGCTATCAAGAGTAAAAATGCTAAAAAGTCTCGCCTGCTTAACTGATCGTGATTGTACATATGATGAAAGTCTATAAGATAAAGGTATCACATAAACATAAAATTATCAGGAATCTACGAAAATGAGGTCAAGGTCAAAGCAGTACTGTCAGACAGACATGAACACATAACAAATAATTTTTTTACACATATAGCTGATCATTGCTTATGGCAACTGAAACACATTGACAACAATGATTTCTAGGTCAGGTAAATTCTGTCTCACAGACATGTAGAACGTGCAAGGATTGGATATACCAAACATGATAATCCTATTGCTGTTAATAAGAGAAAAATTCACGTGAAATAAAACCATGAATTTTATTTGTTAAGAAAAAAAAACTTTGGTCACATATAGCATATCATTTTGCTTTAAGAAGTTTAATTTTCATAAATATGTAGTAGTATAAATCACTGCTGTAAGAGTCTACTACCAGCCATTCTTACATGATTAATATATATAATTGTTGCTTAACGTCCTGTGGCAAATGTTTAATGAATATTCTCTACAAGTACATTCTAAAAGCACATGTAATCCGTTTTAACAGAGTTTGAACCCCATTTAACTATCCATTTAAAATTATTGATCATTATTAGTGTTCTTTTTTGTCAAGTTATAAATGTCAGAATACATAACATATAAACTTATAAATTTGTAGTATACCTCTAATATTCTTTGGTATCACTTCTTCTTGCTCAGTTTCCATTTTTATTACTCTCTCATAAAGATCTGAATGTTTTTTTCCTTCTGAAATTAGAACAGAAATTTGATCCTGTCCCAACAAGAGACCAAATGAAGTAGAGGTAAGCAACTAAATGTCAACGTACAACCTTCAACAATGGTACTCTTTAGATGGCCCTGACATGACAAACGTAAAACAAATCAAACGAGTAAAAAAAAAGCGACCAACCCTTCAAATATCATTGGACAGTGATGTAACAGAAAAAACATAGGAACAAATTAAAAACCAATTATTCAGAGAACAAATTGAAGGTCTTTCTACATCAATGTTCAAAGTTATTGATAAGAAGCTCCTTCCGGTTTACTCAAAGTTACTATTGGCGTCCAATGATAGGTTTGTGCATACTGAGAAAAAAAATGGTTTCTGTATACTTTTGTCTAAATTAAAGGTAGATAATTTGTTATGCAAAAGCAAGCAAAAGTCAAAATTGAGAACATGACCTTGACCTTTGACTTAGATCTCATTTTCTAAGTAAGGACCAAAGGACCTCAAATAAAAAGACTCTAGGTTTATACGGCTTATGGTTTACGAGTTACAAAAACATAACGACAAATCTATTTGGTAAAGGTAGATAATTCATAGAAGATTTCAACGGATCGCTTTCATCCAAATCATCCAAAATTTCCTGAAGATTTAATGAACAATTTAGAAAAAAAGAATTTTGTCGACATCTGTTTTTGTTACGAAGGAGATGCACACAAATGATATACAGTTAATGGGGAGATAATTCTTACGCAGAAAATTGTTCTGCTAAAAGGGGTTAAATTTAAAAGCGCATTAACTGTACAATAATATATATAAAATATCTAAGCGACATCAAAGATCAAACTTTGGCGGAAGAAACAAAATATATTCAGAACAATAAACAGACCAAAATCGAAAGGTCTTTCCACCGAAATCAGTCGATATACTTCTTTCATATAGATATATACTCGGATCGACATCATACACCATGTACAAATACTGTGATTGCATATTTGCCATTTGATACCGATTATATATTTACATGATCCACCTGTTTATTGCTTATATGTTTTATTAGCTATCCTATCCTTCATCAGATATTTTATACTTTTTACAAATTACAAGTTACTTCATGCAACTGATAGTAATTACAATTATCATTAATTTGCCAACACCTACTTGCATTTTCACGAATCATTGTCCGTTTATAAATTTATAAATTATGAAATTAATAAGGTTTCAACTCCCTCAGGCAAAGTAGACCTGAGATGAATTTAGCTGTTTTTTTAAGATTCCTTTTTGTTAAATAGTCCTTCAAATCTATCAGTTCTTCTACATCATTGACTTTCAAATATTCGGCTTTGATGGTTCTGATGAAGGTAAATCGACAAAAGCGCTTCGGACGCATGAACTTTATAGCGTTTTGTTTTAATTTTTTATCCATAAATGATTCTTTAAAAAACGAAAAGCAACACGTGAAGTCGAGATTGCTGTCTGATCACCAAAACATTCCTGATATTTTATTTTAATTTGAAATAATTGACAGTGAATAAACTAATGATGATGTTAAAATATTTTTTGGATTTTGCAATTGTACTTTATAGCAAAAAATAAAACAAAAAATAAGTCAAACATTAATAAGAGATCATATCAACCTGGTTTTCTTGAAATATAAAGGCACTTACTCGTTAAAGGCTTCGCTTCAGGCACATCTTTATCGGGTTTATCTGTATCTGAAATTTAAAGTTTAGGATTTATGTGAGATTTAAGCATAAAACTGATAATATGAAGAAGGTTTGTAAGTTGACATTTTACAATAATATCGTTTTTATACCGTTTTTTTCCATATTTATTTATTCTAAAAAAAAAAAAAAAATTTTAGCTTTTAAATGATAGCTGATTGGCATTATTTCAATTCTTATATACATTTTCCTTGTGTTATTATCACACTGAATTATACTTGAGACTTAAAAATCAGTTATGAATTGCATGGTACTAATGTGCTTTAGATTCAAAATCTGTCAAATAGGTTACATTTTCCTGACAGGATTGATTTAAATATTACAACCATGAGTACGATCGCATTTTCATAAGTGGAGGACAATTATCTTGCAAACTGCGAAGAAAACAAAAATAGATAAACAAAAGTAGAATGTGTCTGAGGACACGAATTGCCCCGCTCATTAGATTTGTTATTAAAGTTTAAGAACTAAAAATCCGAGCAATGTGCTTAGCATTCTGCATTAGTTCCATAAATTCTAAATGAGACAAACTTAATGTAGAGTATGGAAACGCAGAAATTTGCAATTTTCCAAGTAATAATTGGGCATAACTCTAGGATGGTAAGCAAAACACTGCAAAATTGAACTCTGTCTGCGAGTTTTGGTTCTTAACAGTGTGTATGTGTTTCATAAAATTTAAATGAGGAAAACGTAAGTCATAGTGCGGAAACGAAAAAAGTTGAATTTTTTTTAGTTATAAATTGGCATAACATTAGAACAGAAGGCAACTCACTGCCCAGATTCGAATTCTGTCTGCGAGTTTAATTTCTTAGCATTGTGTATGAGCTCCATCAATTTTGTATGAGGAAAACATAAATTAGAGTGCGGAAACGTAAAAATGCAATTTTCCAAGTAATAAAGGGTCATAACTCTAGAACGGTAAACAACTAAGTGCCAAAATTCGTTCTCTGCATTGTGTATGAATTTTATAAAATTGCATCAGGCGAACTTAAGCTAAATTGCAAAGATAAAAATAGGACGGACGGTCAAGGGTAACACTATATGCCCAATTTGCCTACAGAGGGGGCATAAAACATGTTGCATTGAAGACCTGTTGGTGACCTTCTGCTGTTTTCTGTTCTATGATCGGGTTGTTGTCTCTATGACACATTCCCCATTTCCATTCTCAATTTTATGAAGATGTTGTTATCTTTGCATTAAGTTCACTGTAATTCCAATTAAACGTCCATTTATTGAATAGGAATACTGCAATATTTCATTGTATGTATATTTTACTGTTTTCATTGTTCTTATGTTCTCCTTCATATGCATAAAGACGATTTAAGGATACACCAATGACAAAACAATATAATGACAAAAACAGCCAAAAGACATCTAGGAGGAAATACAGTAAAAAGTCATCTGTAAAGTATGGCTTATATGTTCAAACGTCTAAATAAAGACATATAGAAATAAGAAGAAAAGGTATGCTTGCCAATGAAACAATCAAGTACCAGGGACTAAATGACTTAAATGTTTACAGTTTCAGGAAATATATGGTTCTTTTGACTCTGGTGAATTATTGTCTCATTGGAGAGTGAACATTATTTCCTTAGGTTTTTTGTTAATTTGTACTTTTTTGTACAGGTTTTTTACCAATATCATTTATAACTCAAATTGTGTGGCCTATACATAATGAAAACTTACCTGATCTTCTATATCTTCGTTTCCATAAATAAATAAAAATTAGCACTAACACTACGACCATAGTAATTCCAGTTATAATAGAAGCTCTGAAATCAATTGAAAAAATTGAAATTGTAAACATTATATCATTTAAACATGTTTACCTAGCCTGTACCTATAACCTGCTTAGCTGGTATCTTTGTGCTATGTCAAGAATAGTCACTAAAGAAAGTAGCCTTTTAAGCCTTTAATCTTGATATTAACTAAACCTTTAATAAGGGCATTTGAAAAAAATGCATATTTTTTGTTCCATCCAGACATCTGTCATTAAATGTTCTATTTTAACATTTGTTATTGTTTGAATAGGAGTTAGCTAATTATGCAAAAAATAAAAATTCGAAATTGCTTTGATTATCTAAATAAATATAATTTACTGGTAACCAACTTGATTTTGCACCAGTATTACGTGTTATATGTTAAATAATCTTGGTACATTGGCTCTTCAATTATTTAGAGGTACGAATGTATATAATGTTTTGATTTATTGGCTGTACCATGAGTATTTGTCCACTATATTACACAGTAAGATATTAGTATAAACAAAGATATCACTGAATCCTGTAGATATATACTGTGAATCCCTGCAATAACCACGTCAAACGACAAAGAAAAAAAAGTAGGACAATGAGAAAACTAATTAAAGTTCAATTTCATAAGTCTTGATGACACCATAACAGTCAGGATTTTATTTCGTAAAAATTATCTCCCATTCCGCCACCGATTTTTTATAATTGTAAAAATGGAAGCCATTGTAGTGATGACGTGCTTTCAGTTTAGCTCTTGAAAACCTATAAATTTATCCACATATCATCATTACGATCTTTATACGCCAGTTGTATTTTTAAAGACAATATATTTACTAGCATCATTTAATGTACTTTTATGCATTTGGTCAACCTAAAACTATTATCTGATCGGTTTTGAGGGTTAATTTTCGAAAGTTAAAAATATTTAAACAAATTCTAATCAAATATTTCGTGGAAGAGCAGACTAAAAATTTTCAGAGGTTGAAGACTAATTATACTAGATAACACACACAAAACATGAAGTTTTGTTTGAAAATATGCATTTTTAAAATCCACTTGAACAGTCTGTCGTCAAGTACCTTTAGTATAAATGTGTTTTTCGAACACGCCTATTATGCTGTTATGACTCATTAGAAAGGTATTTCACTTGACCGATATATTTTATTTTTTAGCACTGTAAATTTTTAATGTTATTATATCAACCTGGAGCCTATATACATAAACGTAATATAATCTGAATTGATGTATGAAATATTTTTCTTTTATACGTTTTCTAGACATAATAGTCAAGTCAATCACGCCTAAACATAAAAACGTGTACTTGACTTTCTCTTTTTGATGAAATTTTTGCCCATTTTTGGGATTTTTCCCAAAAAAACAGTCGCCGGGGGCAAAGATGCAAATTAATGCTTTAAAAAGATGCAAAAACGCAAAAAAAAAAAAAAAATGGGAAACTACTCATTGAGGTTAAAGAACTAAAAAAACAGCGAACAGACAATTTCGGTCATTTGACTCATTTGTAAATCTTGTCATGCTGACAATTTTTGCTACTTAAAGTGTTTTTTGTCTATTTATCCATGTTATTATAATTTTCATGACAATAGGTCTCATTTCATTATTCTATATTGATTTCAAGGTTGTTTGTTGCTCGTGCTGTGTGAATTCTGTAGAATATGTCCCCGTGCTTGTGGTGTATGCCCTTATAATTTACAGTTACGGTTGTTTGTTTCTAAAAAAAAGGACAAAAGGTTGGATAGCATGTATTCAGTATCTAAATATATTAATTTAACTCCAGAATATTTGATCAATCACAAATCTAATAATAAGTCAATTACCATAAAAAGACTCAGAATTAAATATAATGAAATGTGATTCAGTCAATTAAATTATGAAAACCTGGCATGGTGCACGGAAATAAATTACAAAATTTATAGACTATTTAAAATTGGAACTGGCCTTGAGAAATGTTCAGTGATATGAAATTGTAAAGCAATAAATGAGTTAACCAAATTTAGAATCAGTTCCGATGAATTTGAAACAGTAAAGGGTAGAAACAAAGGGATACCTCCAGACAAAAGATTTTGTAAATTATGTAATAATAACCATGTGGATGATGCAGTTTATTTTCTTCTTCAATGTCTATCACTTAGAACTGAACGTTGAGTTTTTATTGAGATGTATCTTCTAAAAAAACTTATTTTAGATTTTTAAGTGACCAATTAAAGTTTACATGGTTGACATACAATGCAGATCTAATAGTTAATGATATATTGATAAAATAGAAAGATAGTTTCATAATAGACGAGCAAAATAAAGTAATAAGACAGTAGTGATCCGCCAGCTCTTAAATAAATAAAACAACGATACTGATTGTTCACTCTCTCATTTATTTAGGAATACACTATGTTTGTTGTCTCACTTTTCATCTATAGATAGTTAATTGCAATTTTTAAATAAAAAAATCATCACTTTTATATATATACTTCAATTTAATCTGTAATTGTTCTGCTCCTTGAGGCGTCTAGATTGACAAATAAAAATTGTTGCTCTTGTTGGTGGTATACACACACACACATTCACAATTCTAGAATCTTCCGATACTATATTTTGGCATTGCACTTAATCCATTGGATATATGATATAAACTAAGTGAAGTTTTGGTCTTAGATACCGGATTTTTTGATAAGTTGTTGCTGACTTTGAACTACCTGTCAGTAACTGCTAATACTTCGATGCTGTGGTTAGTGTACCGTTATTTGTCCTTTTGCCTTTTTTGACGATGGCATTGTCAGTTGGTTTTCTACTAATGAGTTTGAATATCCCTTTGGTATCTTTTGTCTCTCTTATACACCACTGTCCCAAATTAGTGGAGAGTAGAGCGCACACAAACATGTTAAACCCGCCCATTCTGTATGTGCCTCTCCCATTTCAGGAGCCTGTAGTTCAGTGGTTGTCATATTTGTGTATTGTAAATTGTGTTGTTATAAATTAGACTGTTAGTGTTATTAATTACATTTATTTACGTGTCTGGCCTTTTATAGACGACTATACAGTATGGGTTTTCCTCATTTTTGGAGGCAGTACGGTTGCCGATAACTGCTTTATTTGAACTTTGAGTGGATAGTTATCTCATTTGAATTAATCAAAGGCAACAGTAGTATACCGCTGTTCAAAAGTCATAAATCGATTGAGAGACAACTAAAACGGAGGAAAACACATCAACTATAGGAGGAAAACAACGGAACAACAGAAACACTGAAGTGCAACAAGAACAAACGACAATGCTACATTCATAGAAACAAATTATTTGGAAATCATACCACCTTTCTTTGTTTTTAATAATCAAAACATTAACAAGATTGCACACGCTGAAATGTCTCGCCTGCTAAAGTATTGTTGATTTATGTTATGTTGATAGTCCTAAAGATAAATTTTACTAAAAGTATATTTGAAGATTACGTAAATGATGTCACGGTCCACGCCAGACAGACGTACAACTTACATTCCTAATTACATACACCAAATATAGTTTACCTAATTTTTAAGGTTTAAAAAACCAGATCAAACCATTTCAACTTCACATTGACCAATGCACATCGAAAACAGGGTCAACATCAGATGAACACGGTCAGACAGACATGTACAGCTTACAATCATTCCATACACCAAATATAAATGACCTATTGTTTGTAGTATCTCACAAGTGACCCTGCTATTGAAAAAAAGGCAATAGATACCAAAGGAACATTCAAACTCATAAGTCGAAAACAAAATCACAATGCCATGGCTACAAAAATGACCTACTGAAAAACAGTTGTACACGAAACACAACATAGAAAACCAAAGACTTAGCAAAACGAACCTTCATCAGTGAACGATGAACCATAAAACTGAGGTCAAGGACAGGTGATACCAGGCAAACAAACATGGATCATGACTTGGGATAGGTACATACAGAATGTGGCGGGGTTAACCATGTTAGCTGGCGCCCAACCCTCCCCTAACCTGGAACAATTGTAACAGTACAACATAAAAACAAATCAAAAAAATCAGTTAAAAAGGCTTAACTCCTCAGATGGATACAAATATAAATACATCTAACAAAAACACAGAGTGGACGTGGCCGGAACTTGTACACCCCAACGACAAAAAGACACTAAGTAAAGATCTGAGAGTACTCACCGTTACTGAGAGCTAGTTGACAGCCAATAACAAACTTATTTCTGTGTCATTTTGGTCTCTTGTGAAGAGTTGTCTCATTGGCACATCTTCTTTTTTATATGTACCCTTACAGTCATTCAATAACCAAATATAGTTGACCTACTACTTACAGTATTTGTGAAACGGACCTAATCATGTAACTTTCAACTTGCTCACTGATACAGCAATGAGGTCAGTCGAACCCTTTCTGATAGACATGAAGACATTTCAAGGAACCCATATATACCAAATACAATTATCCTATTATTCATAGTATTTCTAATTTACAGTGAATTTTTTGTCAAGCTTAGCTATGTAAACGAAGCCAAGGACAAGGAATATATGACAGACGTTATTTTGTAAACTAATACATATATATACAAAGATTAAAGCATCGGGGACTTCTACCATATGAAATATAAAGCTACTTTACGCAGCTGCCGCAGCCGGATTGTAATCCTTATGTCTCGCATTGTGCAAATGTCGTGGCAAGCGAGACAAAAGTGGTAAATGAATCGTCCTTAAAGCGCAATAACCAAAACAGAAGAAGTCAAATGACGCTTTGGGTCATTTGACTAATTTGAAGATCGTATCTTTCTGCTCATTTTTTTCAGTTTCTCTCTATCATAAATACAAAAAAAAACATCTAAAGATCGTCATTCAAGGGCAATAACTTTGAGAAGGAGTCGTCTGATGATTTCAGTCATTTGCCTTTTTTGTAGATCTTGTCTTGAGGATCATTTTTGGAATTAAATGTATATCTCTTTTTATAATAATTTTCAACATACGACGTAGACATAAAAAAACAATGGAAAAGGAAACGTTTGTCATTTGAAGGCAATAACTCCAGTAAGAAGTAGCCGGACAATGTTGATGTTAGTAGAAAGTAGGTATATCTCAATATCATGAACATTTCTATACCAGTTAGAATGTCTAGAGTTACAGCAGTTTTCAAGATACTAGGTTTCATACATGTATATTTAATCTTTTACGAGGAGTTAAAAGAAGAAAGTTCCACACAGTCAAACATTTGTAAGTTCTATAGGCCATTACTATAGAAAAAAGCTATGTACTGTAATGTTGAACCCACATGCAGATTTACATATTAGGATCTTACCAATTTCCATTTATCTATTATAATGCATGAAGGTGGAGTTGCAATCACAAGGTCTATGCTGGACAGGTTAACACTATTCTTACCTAGAAGAGGCATGTCGCTGAGAAAAATCAATGGCTTTAAGCATCTTTTTAACATGCACATCTATATATTAAGGTCTAACAATGTACCATGTTTCATGTAGATGCCGTAAAACTTGTAGAAATGGTTGCGATTGTAAGTCTGTTGCTGAACAGAGCCAAATTTGTTTTAACTGAAAGGGGCATAACTTCAATTAACTTCCATGTTCGTGTATATACGATAAATCATATAGGAAAAGGTGAGATGACATGATCAGTTCTGACAAGGGTAAAACTTTCTAAGGTTAAATGGTCATAGTTCTGGATAACGTAACAATTTTGATGTGCAGGATTCAGTTTCCTCCATTTCAACGGAGATGTATGTGAGTTCTTCAATGATATACAAACACTCACATTTTCCACCTCAAAATCCTATTCTTATTAATTCATATTACATTGTGAACCATACAAAAAGTTTTAAATTGTCTGATGATAAGTTTCACACCGGAAAAGGACATATGACGTCATACTGGTATGTTAAAAAGACTTAATCGACGAGTCAGGTACATTGATAATGTTTATCATAAGATAAATATGTTTAACAAATCATGAGCATTAAATATCGCTTGATTTCAGATTCCGTTATTTAATTCAAATAATAATAAAAAAAACTTGCAAAAAGGCTGTTTTATTATTATATTGAAATTATATATCTCGAATTGATATCAAGCTATATCCAATGTTCACTCGTTGTGTAACATATAAAAATATATTACATTATAGAATAAGCAAAAACATGCCAATAAATTTGAACTTCTTACTTACATTTCACCTTGAGATAATTTTCTATTCCCAGTTGAAATTTCGGGTGGTGTAGTACTTATGGCTGAAATCAAATAAAGCATAAACACAATCGGTTATAATATCATTTACATAACATTTCAATGGGAATTATCGGTCACCGTGTTTATTCTCCGATCAATAATAAATGAGAAACCCTCCCAATTATCAATCCTGTGAAGGTCAAGAACAAGTATCCATTTTGGTCATACAGCTTTTATATGGCTTCGTATTTTTTTACCCAAGGCTTTCACATATTTAGGTTTCACCTTTCCAGATGAAAATGAATTCCAGAAAAGTGCTTCTGATGTAGGAAATTTTTCAAGTGTTTTTCATTTTTAAAGCATTGGAGTTCCAGACAAGATTTTTGAAAACTGGCCAATATCATGTAAAACTTACATTCCTTCCATACACCAAATATAGTTTACCTAAAGATTGTGTCAGACGGCCAAATTTCTTTTGCGTAAATTGGAACCAACTAAAGATAATGAGTAGAACCACTTTTTTGGAGGTCATTTGGGTTGCTGTGTCTCTGACATAAACCCTACATCTCCGTTTTTTTCACCTTAATATATCGTTATTATCTTTTATTTTAATGGTTGCTGTCTTTTTGTCATATACACCACATTTCCTTTTATTCATCTCAAAATGTCATGCTTTTATGGGGTTATGTGGTTGGCGTCTCATTGACCCAGTGTCATCTTGTATTCATTTCTATTCTATATTGCTACCAAAACATATGTCTAGTGTCCATTTATAAATGTTGAAGTTGTTAAGAAACTAAGGTTTCAACTCACATAGGCAAAGCTGATCTTATATGGATCTAGCTATTTTTCTACGTTCTTTTTGGTTACTTAGCTCTTCAACTGTTTCGGTTTCTATACATCCTTGGCTTTCAAATATTCGGCTTTGAGTGTTCCTGGTGACAGTACATCACGAAAAGCGTTTCGGACGCATGCAATGTATAACGTGTGGTTTTCATTTTTTTGTCTTTCTTTTCTTTTCCCAATTTTTATCATAGTCAAGACAAAATTAGGAAAAAAGTAGATTTCTTCTCAATTTTTTTATTCATATCACATTATATTTGTATTCATATACGTCAAAACCATTATTACCATAACTATCGAGTGTGTGTACTTACAGGTGAAAATGTCTTCTTCCAATAGAAACTTTATTTCCCCATAAGTTACACCATACAAACATGAATATGAAACATTTAGATCTTGTTCTGTCAGATTTTGAATAATTAAGGTGTATCCATCTTTCAAAACCTTTCCATCATACTTTTTATTAGGTCTTCCTGTTTTGACATCTATAAACAATGTCTGTTGTACTGGGGTCCACCTATCCCAACCTGAATCTTTGGGACAGCAGTTTGAAACATTGCAAAATAATGTCGCGTTTTGTCCATATTCTGTTACCTTTCCAACAACCGTCCATTCCAAAACACCTGAAACTTTTAATTTGATTTCTTGTTTAGATTGTATTCTTTTCTATACGTTACATATTACAAGCCATAATTTACACAGAATAAATGATCAGGGAATACAATTTAAATATTTTACAATCAAATATTTATAATACAAGTACGGTTAAGTGTTTAACCTTATTCATAGCAAATGACCATCAGTGTTTGATATATCTATTCAGACAATTTTGTATTTTTAGACATGTCATAATTTAGTCATAAACCATTCTATAAGTCATGTCAATGGTGTTGAACATTTAAACATTTCAATCATTGCATACATTAAATAAAACTAACACATTGATTAATGTACCATGAAAAAGAGTTCAAGGTTCAAATGAATTCAGACCGACGGACGTAAACACCTTACGAGCATTCCAGACATCAAATATAATTGATTTATTGCATATTATATGAAGACCCTTACTGAAAAAATATTCAACTGCAAACAATTGACGCAAACCTGCTGCAGACTTGCAGTAAATATTTATTTTATATAATCTATATTTGCGGCATCTTTGCTGCAATCAGTTAACACTTCAAATACGTGTTTGCTGCAAAATTTCAAATGAAACCAATAGAGTTCAAAATATCTACTAGTTTTTGTGATTTGCATACACAAGCGATATCCATACGACTTCCTTGAGAGGACATTGCATTTTGGATAAAAGAAAGATCGATTCCTTCTTTACGGTCACAATAAATAAATGTTGATAATCAGTTAACTTCATCATAACCTGTGTTAGTAATTTATTGTAAACAGTTTAAACATGTGATTAGTTCAGCTGTTATAGTCTTGTACGTCAATATAGTCTTCACCTAGAGCACTTTGATCCAAATGAATTGCTGTCTTGTCCTATTATAACAGAAATAATTCATGGTAGCTTGCATTTTTTTTGATTTTACGACGGTTGGTCCTATATAAAACCCCATAAAGTATTTCTAAGGTATACCACATCTTCTTATTTATACAGAATAGTTTGTTACCTTGTATAATAAGACAGTTAGTCAAAATCAGTGATGGTAGCAAATACTTCATATCTTACTGATAACTGAAAAAAAAAATATCAAATATATTATTGATGGGAGACAAAATGTAATGTACTATACCCAATGATTGAGAAGCCGGAAACAGTCTTATACTTTTGGGGCTCTTAATAGCTTGCTGTTCGGTGTGAGCCAAGATTGCGTGTTGAAAGCCGAACTTTGGCCTATAATTGTTAAATTTTTATACATTGTTACTTAGATGGATAGTCGTATCATTGTATAGCTAATTTTTACATTAAAAGTTATCACATATACCCATCATAGATAAATAAAACAATCACCTATTATGTATAGCTAATCTTAACATCAAGTGTGATTACATAGACCCAGCAGTGATGAATAAAACAATCACATATTATGTATAGCAAATCTTTACATCAATCGTGATCACATAGACCCAGCATGGATGATTATAACAATCGCATATTATGCATAGCTAATCTTTACATCAAGAGTGATTACATAGACCCAGCACTGATGAATAAACAATCACATATTATGTATAGCAAATCTTTACATCAATCGTGATCACATAGACCCAGCATGGATGATTATAACAATCGCATATTATGTATAGCTAATCTTTACATCAAGAGTGATTACATAGACCCAGCACTGATGAATAAACAATCACATATTATGTATAGCTAATCTCAACATAAAGAGTGATTACATTTAATGCAATTCGTTTGTAAAGATAATTTTCATTGGTCGCTGGCAAGTATTCAATAAAAAATGATTTGAATGGTTGTTTTATACTAAACCACTATATAGTCACCATGATTTTCTCAGTATGCTACAAAAGTGACCAACGTTCTTAGATTTTAAAGGTTTGCATTGTTTTTATTTATACCCCATATACCACAAGGTTAATGAGTGCTAAGTATTTTATTACATTTCATATTTGAGCATGCATGTGCAACTTTTTCAGTGGAGGACTTGAGGCTGCGTTTTTATAATGGATTAATTCAATGTACATGTTTATTTTTATTTTTATATATCCCTTAAAAACAACAAAGTTAATCGTGTGTGCTCCAACGTTGAGGGATAAGCATAAAGAAACAGTTCATAGAAACGAAAGTTATTTTGTCCATTGATTTATAATACCTGCGACATATAATACATTGAATGTGTCTCTGGTTATTATTATAACGTCCAAAACATACTTCCTTAATTTCAACTTTCTTATACTATGTTAAATATTCAAACAGGTTGCGCATGATTAAAAACGATATTGCTGATATGGTTGATAAGTTGTGTTTGCACAAGTTTTGAGACAAGAAAATCTTATATAGATATGATTTGTTATATTGAGACACTGCGAAATAAATCGGTTGAAAAAAAGCTTACCTTGCTTCTGTTAAAGTTCATATAATCAAAGTTTTCTTCAGTCAAAACACATATCAGGAAGTTTGAATCCGGGAGGAGTTTTACCAGGAAATAAATTACGCATCTTAACGCGGTACTAGGAGGAATTAACTCATTGAAACTTGTGCAAGTACTTTCCGAACGAAAATTCAAATGGGCTAGCTGAACATTTGTAAAACACAAAAAAATGCCTTGTACGTCATTAAAATATTATTGTTTTGTAGCGGAGTGATCGTAGAACTATTTTGTTTATTGTGAAAAAAAAATCATCTATTCTTTAACTACTTTATTTAGAATAAAAGTCTCTATATTTTGCATATAAAAAAAAAACATAAAAGTGTAACTTTCCAACTAAAAAAACATGAATTGTCAACATTTAAGGAAATATAATGTTTTACAGAGAATACAGAACACAGGCTTATTTAACAAGATAATTTATGGTTAGACATAAATTGGCAAAAATGCAAAAAAATAGACAAAGATAATATATAATTTCATTTAATTTGATTTAACTGTGAACTACTATCATTTTTTTTCGAATTTGAGGAAATCTAAATTTATTTGGGATGAACCGGGATTATCTAAAAAAAATCATCTGAGATAATCTAAGATTAAGTAAAAAAAGGGGTTAAGGCTTGCCAAAACGCATGCATAATAATCTTATTTTCTAGAAGCATATAAATACATGCTATGTGAATCGATGATGTATACAATACAGAGTGATTTAAGAACTATTTTGTTTATTGCGAAACAATCATATATTTTTTAATTACTTCATTTAGAATAAAAGTCTTAATATTTTGAATACCAATGGTCATGAAAGTGGTACTTTGTAAAGTAAAACCTCATAAAAATATAGTTAACCAAATCAAAAAAACATAGATTGTCAACATTTCAGGAAATATAATATGTTTTACAGATAATACATAACACATTCTTATTCAACAACATAATTTAAAGATAGACATAAGGTGGTACCAAACACCTTGACTAAAGTTAATTTGGCTCGTTTAATTTTCATAACAATTTGGAAAAATATTTACTTTGACCCTTTGACAAAAATATGAAAATTTCAAAAAACTTGAACCACAAACTTTCTCGGAAAATTTTCATTGGCTATATAGCAGTTTAACAACCATTTTGAATATTGAGAAGCTTAATCAAAATTTCCTTAAAACATAGAACATAATTAAAACGTTCAGCTGATTTTTTTCCAGAGTGATCTCCCCGTAGTGTTATGTACCACAATAAATTGTCAAAATGAAAAACAGTAGATTAGGATGATAAATAACTTTATTTATTTTAATTCAAATGGGAACAACTATCATTGAAGCCTGGTGTTGAATGAATGAATAAATATCTTTACTCCTAGAAGTATATGTATACTGCTATGTGAAACGAAGATACATACAATACATGACAAACAAACAAAAGCGATAGCAGATAACATTGGTGGCCGGTTAAGGTCATTTCGCGCTTTCATATTATTTAGGGCGAAAACGCAAAAACGCGAAGTCAAAAACACGAAAACGCGAAGTCGAATACGCGAAAAAGCTTAACGGTTACACTTCTCAATTTCGCGTTTTCGACTTCGCGTTATTGCCTTATAGTATATGAAAGGCGAAAACGCGAAATGGCCTTAACCGGCAATCCAAAAGAACAACAGTTAACGAGTATACTAAACAATGAATAAAATTATGACGATGTATGTGATCTTATTCTCCAAACTGCATTAAAATAAGTGCTTGGTTTCGTATCACATATCCCAGCGAATCTAGAAGATGATTGGTGACTTTATACGAAATATGACATATAAAAAGAAACATAGCAAAAATACCAAACTCCGAGGAAAATTCAAAACGGAAATTAAAGTCGCTATCAAATGGCAAAACCAAAAAAACACAGCAAACGAATGGATAACAACTGTAATATTCCTGACTGGTTAGACCTTTTCATATGTAGAAAATGGTGAATTAAGCCTGGTTTTATAGCTAGCTAGCCTCTAACTTGTATAACAGTCGCATAAAATTCCACTATATTAACAACTATGTGAAAACAAAACAAACAGATATAATAGGTACAAATGTCAAAAATAAAGGTACAGTAGTCAACATTAATTATAATCTTAATCACTATAAAACAAACAAATATGTCAACATAAAGTATTGCTTTCTGTGGTGTTAGTTTGCTATTTATCCCGACAGTTGTGTCTTACTCATGGTCAAGGGCTTCTTTTGGCGGATAAAGTTCATGCGAAACATCAAATATATATTATGGTGTAACTTGTAATTGTTTGCTATTTTTTGAAATTATAAGGGGGGTCAACATTCAAATTTTGGCACAGACGTTTAGCTGGGGTTTTAAAAACAACCCCATTCATATATTGATTTACACGAAAATCCCTACCCATTTATATATATCATAGGAAAATCACTACCCATTTAGATATTTTCGAGCTATCAGGACATCATGCTCAACACGACGGGTGCCACATGTGGAGCAGGATCTGCTTACCCTTCCGGAGCACCTGAGATCACCCCCAGTTTTTGGTGGGGTTCGTGTTGCTTAGTCTT